ATCTGATTGGACAGTACGCAGCAACAACAACAACAAAGAAAGGCCTGGTGACATAGGCCTGAAAGGCACTGCTTTGAAGCCTTGTGGACCACGGTTCTACTCTGAACAAGTGCAGTTAGGCCCACAGGTACAGAATGATGGGGTAGCTCTTCAGCTATATGGGAAGGCTTCCTGGAGGAGGTGACACTTTACTGGCAGCTATGCAAAGGCATTTGACTGTGCAGATAGTAACAAACTATGGCTAACACTGAGAAGAATGGGAATTTCACAACACTTAATTGTGTTCATGCAAAATCTACACCTAGACCAAGAAGTTGTTGTCTGAACAGAGCAAAGGAACACTGCATGGTTTAAAATTAGGAAGAAAGGTGTGGGTCAGGGTTGTATCTTTTCTTCACACTTATTCAATTTGTATACTGAGCAAATAATTTAAAAAGCTGGACTCTATGAAGAATGTAGCATCAGGACAACAACCTGTGTTATGCAGATGACACCACCTTGCTTACAGGAAGTGAAGTCAGTCGACTTGCTGCAGAAGATCAAGGACTGCATGCAGCCTTCGGCATGGATGACATCTCAACCTCAAGAAGACAACGGTCCTCACCGCGGGGCTGACAGCATCGTGACAGATGAGAAAAGGATTGAAGCTGTTAGCAAACGCCAATTGGCTCTTGCTTGGATCAGCAATCAACTCCCTTGTCATCATCATCAGGAGATCAAGAGACATATTGCATTCGGCAAGTTTGTGGTCAGACACTTCACCAAAATAATAAAGAGCAATGGTGTCACCTTGAAGACTAAGGTGTGCCCGATGTAGGTCATGGTCTTTTCAGTCACTTGCTATGCATCTGAGCTCTGGACAATGACTATGATGACAGAACAAAAAATTATGCCTTTGAGCTGTGGTGTGGGAGAAGAATGCTGAACATCTCATGGACGGCCAAAAGGACAGACGTGTCTCGGGAAAAGTGCAGCCAGAGTGCTCCCTGAGGGCGAGGATGACAACGCTTTGGCTCTCATACTTTAGACATGTTGCTAGGAGAGGCTGTTCCTTGGAAAAGGACATGGTGCTTGGAAAGAGGGAGGGTCCGTGAAAGAGAGGAAGACCCTCAACAAGATGGACTGACAGACTGCAGCAGTGGGGTTGACTATGTCAGAGATGCTGAGAGTGGCACAGGAGAGGACGGGGTTCAGGTCCGTTGTTCCTGGGGTCGTTATGAGTCCTGCCCAACTAGACAGCACCTAATGAGGGCAGAAGTGGGGAGGTCTCCTCTGTGGCAGGTGACGCCGTCACTGGGGACACTGTCCCTGAGGGGTGGTGCTGGCCACGTGGGCATCTGGCCTCGTCTGTGGTGGTAACTGCTCCACAGACCCACCCTTCTTCTGTCCAGTCCTAACTCAGTGTCCTCCCTCCCTGACCTGGTGCCAGCACTGTTCCCGGGCAGGTCACCTCGCTGCGCTGACCGACAGGAGCTATCTTTAAACTGGGCAGGGACACTCCGCTCCTTGTAAACACTGCTCGCATGACAGTCCTGGAATCTGAGGGAGGCGGGGCCCTGGTGGCCGGACACTCGTAGTTCTGCTCGAGTCCCCGGCCGCTGTCCTGGGCGAATCCTCACAGACAACACTCATTCATTCCCCCACCCAGCATGCATTCACGGGACACCTTGTGTGGGGACTGAGGTGGCCTAGTGGACTGGGAGTCGAGCTGCTGACCCAAAGGGAGGCGGTTTGAATCCAGCAGCTGTGGGGAAAGATGCGATGGGGGTTGAGGGTGGTGGTCAAGCACCTGGCTGGTAACCACAAAGCTGGCAGTGTGAACCCACAGCCCCTCTGCAGGAGTAAGGGGTCTGCTCCGTCAGGGTTACAGCCTCGGACGCCCCCCCCCATCCCCGGGCAGTCCTAGATCCTTGCTCTGTGTCCCTCTACGTTCGAGGGCGGGGTGTCCTGGCTGCGTGTGTTCAGTCAAGCTTGGTTCCATAGTCTCACGTTCAACTCTGACCAAAAAGTTAAGGGTTCGAACCCACCCACTGGACAAAGACCTGATGTGCATATGAACTGTCAAAACCAAACCCTGGTGTTTGCCAATGAGATGGCTGCAGCTCATAGCCAGCCTGCAGGACACACAGACCTGCTCCCGACTCCGAGATGTAAATCCTCACGGACGGGGGCATCATTCTCCCGGGCCTGGCTGGTGGGTTTAAACCGAGCCCTCAGGCCTCTACGCCACTGAGCCCCTTCTGACGAGATGACCAGGCACCCTGCAGGCCAAACCCCAGCTGTCCCCACCACCTCCGCCACGCTCAGACCCGAAACCGCTGAGATTGATTCAATGGCAACTTCAACACTGACCAGCCCTGGACTGGGCGCTAGAGACACAAGGGACCTCAGGGTCTTTGGCCACACACAGGAGGCACTGAGCAGAGGACAGATGAGCCGGATCATGAGATCCTGACGAAGGGTGGGAGGCGACAGGGCATGGGGACTGGCGCCCATGCAGACTGGGGTGGGCTGTGGGGTTTTGACACCCTCAAACCTGGCTCAAACTCACATCTGATGCCTTTGTCTTCCCATCTCCAACTGACCTGGTCCTCAGACCACCCAGCCTCTGCGCTGTTCCTTCCTTCCTTGATAAATTACAGCTAATAGTTTGATTGCTGTGGCCTCTGCTGCCTTCTTTCTTGGAAATTTTAGTGACATTTGGTAATTTCTGATAAGGTTGGGGCTTACGACATGTGAAGGGGGGGTATCTCGGTGGACAGCTAATTAGAACAGGGCTTCTATCTTTAACGAGGGCTGGTATTTGTCGCTAGAGGCTGTTGAATCAGTGATGAGCCCACGTGCAGGAAGTGTGTTTAAGCTGCTACTTTTCAAAAGCAGTTCTGTGGTCCTTTTGGGTCGGGTCACACCATCTTCTGTACCATGAGGACTCCATTACATGGCAACCCGTCCCCTCTGAACCCTGCTGTTCCTGGGAGGGGGCCTGGGAATGGCAGAGAGAGACAGGTTAAATCAATCCGTGCATCCCACTTTTGGGGAATCATTATTGGGTCACGTGACCCCAGCCAGCCCAGAGGGGGGCTCAGAATGTTTGCTGGGAAGAGGAGGTGTTGCCTTTACATGGCTGGCTGCCTGTGGCGCCCCAGGGGGCAGGGGCAGGGGTGGGGGGCCTGGCCAGCCAGCTAATCAGCTCACCTAGACGCTAACTGCTGGCTCGCACGCCTGAAACTTGCCAGCACTGCTCCAAGATGACGAGTGACAGGAGTTCCGCGGCCCGTCCTGTTGCTCAGAGCCAGGGGCCACGTTCCCATGAACAGAAAGGGGGAGATCAGGCTTCCCTAGGCTGGATGAGGGCTGGGAGCGAAGAGGACATTAGCTGTGGGCTCGGGGCTGCACCAGGATGCAGGAATGGGGACGTGACCTCTGGCCCCAGGAGATGTGACCCCTGGGAGGGCTCTGAGCACAGACGTGGTGGTCAGGAGTACCCCTGTGAAACAGGGAGATCGTGCCGACTGCCGAGGGCTGGGCAGTCAGAGGGCAGACTCTGTGTCCTCTCCTGTAACTGACATGCGCCCACCAGCAGGGTCTTCAGAGTGACCACCCAAAGTGGCAGCCCTATCTGTGGTCTTTTCTCATGAGGAGCGGCTGGGGGACTTGAACCACTGAGCTCTAGGTTAGCAGTCTGACACTTAATCTATGGCCCCTAAGAAGTCGTGACTGAGAGGAAGTGACTGGTCAGCGCCACTCGGAAACCACAGTGAACGGGATTCAGGGAGCTTTTGCCAGTTTTGCTGATATCGATGGGATGAAACAGGACTGAATGAGATGGCAGGAGAAGGGGAGACTGGGGGCACCTCCCCTCCCAGCTCTCCACGACCCTGTGGGGCAGCCCTTCCCATCGCCTCTCCTCCCAGGACCCCATGGGGCAGCCCTTCCCCTCCCCCTCCCAGAACCCCATGGGGCAACCCTTCACCTCCCCTCCAGGACCCCATGGGGCAGCCCTTCCCACCCTGCCTCTCCCAGGATTCCATGGGGAGGCCTTTCCTGCCCCCTCCCCCTCAGCTCTCCAGGTCCCCTTAAGCTCCCCGAGTTCTCTGGGATGTGAAGACCAGTGAGGGATTCACCAGCGAACCCGTCTTGTTCTTTATTCTGTGCTTTGGGGGGTGGGGTGGGGGGGGCTATCACCGCAGAAGAAAAACCTTGCCTGACAACAAAATACTTTGCTATCTAACATCACACACTGCAAACAAGGGGATCCAGGCTCCCGAAGGGGCACCGTGCCCCTGAGGCCAGCGGGTCACTGCCTGCTGGACCTGCTCCTCCCGCCAGGCACCGGCCACACGCCCCTTCCCTGAGAGCAGGCCTGCCCTGCCGCTGTGACCTCCGAGGCCGGCCAGTATCCTGCCTTCACGCCGCTGCCAGAGAAGACGTGGATGCTAGGGCTCAAGGGGCAGCGGCAGATGGCCAGGGTCAGCTGGGGCGTGTGGCCCACCACAGAGCCGACGTCCTGAACGACCTGGACGTGTACCAGAGGCTGGGGGCGGTCCAAGGAAGAGGCCAGTGTGAGGTTTCCAAAAGGCACAGCAGCCCGTGATTCAGGGACCACAGCGCGGCATCAGGCCACAGAACCAACGGCCTCTGAGGTTCCACAAACCGAATCCTCACACCTGGCAGGCTCCAAACCCGCCAACACCTGTAACCTGCCCGCTTGTTGGAGAAGCAAACATCAAACGCACTCAAGCTTGGCAAGGGGCGGTCACCCTGTGTGGACGTCCTCTGCATGGCTGCTCTGCGAGGGCAGGAGAGGAGAGGGGGCATGTCGGCCCAGCTCTGTGTCCCTGAGGAGAGGCAGGTGGACGATTCTGTGTGTCCTCCTGCTCACGAGTGGACAGGACGGAGGCTAAGTGCACACGCGGCGGAGGTTCTGAGCACCGGACAGCTTGGCAGAGCCTCCGGAGAGGCGGCAGGAGGCCCTGGCTGTGGCCGCAGGCGGGCTCTGCTCAGTGCAGCTGGATAAAGGCCTCCAGTTCCTCCGGGATGAAGCCCTTGTAGGGGATCTTGTTCTTGTCCAGGGCGCGCGCGGCCAGGCACTGCAGGGTCACGTAGTTGAAGGGCTGCATGGTGCTCTTGGCCAGGAGCTTCTCGTCCAGCAGCTCATAAGCCGTCTTCTTGAAGGCGTTGGTGGCGTCCATGTGCGCGCCCGCGTCGATCAGCGCGTTCATGACCGCTGGGCAGTTGTTCTGGGCCGCGATGTGCAGCGGCGTGTTGTTGTCAAAGTCCCGGCTGTCGGGGTCGGCCCCGCAGGCCAGCAGCACCTGCACCACGTGCAGGGAGGGGAAGCGGCCCACTGGGTAGCGGCCCACGTTGGTGGTGTCCTTGTCCACCGCCATGTGCAGCGGCGTGAAGCCGTTCTTGCCGCGCGGCGCGCACTTGAGCAGCCGGTAGACCGTCTGGTGCTTGAGGTGCTGCTGCTCCGGGGTGCACTCCACCTTCTCCAGCAGGTAAAGCAGGTGCAGGATGATGGCCAGCGCCTTGGTGAACTGGGCCGCGTCGCCCGGCTCGCGGGGCTGCTGCAGGGCCCGCTCCACCTCGCGCACCCCTTTGCTGAGCACGCCCATGAGGTCGGCGAAGCCCAGCTGGGGGCCGGGGCCCCCCTTGGCGGCGCGGTCCTGCAGCACGTAGGAGAAGAGTTCGGCGAAGGACAGGAAGCTGCTGGCCGTCATGGGGCTGAGAGGCTCCAGGTTGCTCTGCTGCATGTCCAGCGCGTACTTCCAGAGGCGGATGCAGCGCTCGAAGTTGCCCGAGTCGGCGTAGACGGCGCCGCGGTAGCGGATGTAGTAGGACGTGTCCGGGTGCGCGGGCCCCAGGATGCGCTCCCGAATCAGCAGGGCCTGCATGCGCATCTCGTCGGGGTCGGTGATGAGCGCCTCCAGCTCGGCGGCCGTGGTCACCTCGCGCGCGTAGCCGTAGGCCAGCACCAGCTGCGCGGGCTGCGGCTTGGGCAGGTAGGGGCCCCCCTGGTGCCGCAGCTCCATGGCGCGTCGCCAGTGCTGGAGGGCGCCCAGCAGGTCCCGCTTCTTGTCCACGTAGGTGGCGCCCAGCAGCTCCAGGGCCTCGATGGCAGCCTCGCGGGTGGTGGGGCAGCAGCCCTGGGCTGGGGGCTGCTCCTCGGAGGCGGGGGGCTGCTCCTCGGAGGCAGGGGGCTGCCCCTCGGAGGCGGGGGGCTGCTCCTGGGCGGCGGGAGGCTGCTCGCCGATCAGGTACTCCACGATGTTGGTGTGGCCGGTGACGCTGGCGGCCAGCAGCGGCGTCATGCCGTAGCCGTCCCGCTCCATGCGCGCGCGCCGGCCCAGCAGCAGCTGCAGGATCTCCAGGCTGCCGGACTCGGCGCAGTCGTGCAGCGCCGTGTTGCCCTTGGCGCTGCGCCGGTTCACCTGCGCGCCGCGCTCCAGCAGGTAGCGCGCGATCTCGCGGTGGCCCTTGTAGCAGGAGATCATGAGGCACGTGTGGCCGTGGCGGTTGGCCACCTCCAGGTCGGCCTGGTGCTCGCCCACCAGGTAGCGCACCACGTCCAGGTGGCCGTCGAAGCAGGCGGCGCGCAGCGGCGTGGAGTTGGTGCGCGTGGTGCGGTTGACCGAGGCCCCGCGCTGCAGCAGGCTGCGCACCACGGCCAGGTGGCCGGCGGCCGAGGCGGCCCACAGCGGCGGCGCGCCCTCGATGGTCTCGCCGTCGAAGTGCACCGAGCCGCCGGCCTCCACGCTCGCGCCGCACCGGTCCACCAGGTACTCCACCACGTCCAGGTGGCCGTAGCGGGCGGCGATGAGCAGCGGCGTGCCCCCGCCGGCCACCTCGCCCGTCAGCTCCTCCAGCTCCTCCCGGCTGCGGCCGCTCAGCAGCTTCTGGAGCAGCTGCAGCTTGCCGTCGCGGGCGGCGTTGTACACGGCGGTGCGGAGGTCCATGGTCCGGGACTCCGCCAGGCCATGGGCCGGCCGCCGGGGGGACAGCGGGGGACGGTGGACTAGAGGCCGGGGGGGCCGACCGCAACCTTCCCCGTCTCCCTTACCAGCATCTTAGGGTCTCCTCGGGCGGAATAAAATGGCAGCCTCGGCCTGACGTGGACGGTGAGCAGGGGGGGGCCGATCGTGCAGGGAAGTGTAGTCCTGCGAGCCGGCCGACTCGTTGGACAGAGCAGTCAGCGTGAGAACTCAAGACTCTATCTCCCAGAAGGCTGCGGGCCAACCAGAGCGACGCGTGACCGCGATGCACGATGGGAGTTGCTGTTCGGCCATAACGATTCGCGGGGCAAGCCACCCACGGGTGAACTACAACTCCCGTCATGCACCGCCACCGGGCTAACTTATGGCACGAGGCGAAGTTTGGTGACGTACTTCCTTTCGCTGTCAGTTTGCGGGAGCCAACAGAAAACGCAGGACCAGGCCAACGACTATACTACCCAGAAGGCACCGCGGCGGCGCGCAGCGAGGGTGTGCAGCCCGAGACCGGCAGGGGGCGCGCGAGCGGCACAAAGACGACGGGACGTTTAGTTTGGTTTCCAAAGGCTTTTTTTCTTTAAACACTGGGTGCTGAGGACGAGCCATAGCGACCCCGTGAACAACAGATCTGAAGCCTGTTCTATCCTGTCCCATCCTCATCATCTCTGACACACCTGAGCCCATTCATTGCAGCGATCACTGCTTCAATCCACCTGGAGGACGGTCTTCTCTTTCCCAGACCCTTCTCCACCTCTCCAGGCATGATGCCCCTCTCCAAGGAATAGCCTCTCCTAACACCGTGCCCGAAGAATATGAAATGAAATTTTATCATCTTTACCTCCAAGGAGCACTCTGGCTGCACCTTCTTCAAGACCTACCCTGGTTTTTGACAGTTTGTGTGGGATGTTCAGGTCTCTTCTCCAACACCACAGCTCAGAGACATGAGTTCTTCTGTTATCCTTACTCATTGTCCAGCTCTCAGATGCACAGCAAGTGATCAGAAAGACCATGGCCTGAAACAAGCGCACCTTAGTCTTTAAACTGATGTCATTGCTCCTCAATAATTTGGCTCTGACTGCAGACTTTCCCCATGTGATATGTCTCTTGATTGCTGGTACCAAGTGTATTGATGCTGGATCTAAGTAAGGTGAAGTCGTTGACTGTTTCAGTCCTTTCTCCATCTACCATGGTGCTGCAGGAGGAGGATGGGCAAACTCCTCCCGTGTGACTAACTGCCTCTGAAAACCCACCAGAGGGTCAGCTATGAGTCAGTTCTGACTCTGCGAAACACAACAACATCATGATGTTGCCAATTGTCCAGTGGTGAGACATTTTGTGGGTTTTAAAAAAATTTTATATTAACTTATTTACAAAATTCTAATACATTGTTTTTGAGAAGAAGTTCTTCCAATTTCCCTCACCTCCCTCCATCAAATAGTACAACTCCATGATTAATTCCCCCCCTCCCCTGGCACATCCTCATCCCTCTACTTCCCTCCCTCACCCCCCTTGGATCTTAAGGTTTTATACAATATTTGTCCTTGTGGGACGGAGTTAGTTCATGTCTCCCAAGTTGGGTAATAATTTACAAAATGATTACTCCAGTGTGCTGCATAGTGGACATTACATTTTCTTGATGTTAAGATGCAATCCATATTAAAAGCTGCATTTTTTGATCTTATGCAGCAAGTACTTGAAGTCCTTCTCACTTTCAGCATGCAAGGTTGTGTTATTTGCATAATGCAATTGTAAATCTTTCTCCAATCCTGATGCCACATTTTCCTTCATAGAGTCCAGCTTCTCGAATAATTTGCACAGCATACAGAATGGAGAGAGGTTACAACCCTGATACACACCTTTCTTTGTTATGAACCATGCAATGTTCCCTCGGTCCTTTCATACAACAGTCTCCTGGTCTACGTCTAGGTTTTTCATGAGCACAATTAAGTGGTCTAGGATTGTCATTCTTCTCATTGTTACTGTTATTGTTGTTATGTGCCATCAAGTTGCCTGTGACCCAGAACAACCCCAGGTAGCTCCGAACCCAGCCCTATCCTGAGCCAGTCTCACCGTCTCTAGCACACCTAACCTTGTTACCCCAGTCACTGTGTCAATCCGTCTCATCTGAGGTCTACCTCTCCTGTGCTGTCCCATCACCATTCCAAGTATGATGTCTTTTTCCAAGGACTGGTCACTCCTTGCCACCTCCTTTGGTGCCCAAAGTATGTGAGATGGAACTTCAATAATTTCAGCCTATCTTCTCCAGCACAACTCCAAGGCATCAGTTCTTCTTCTGTCATCCTTAGTCATTGTATGGGTCTCTGATGCATAGCAAGTAATTGCAAAGATTATGGCCGGAATCAGGCACACCTTAGTCTCTAAAGTGACATCATTACTCTTTAGCATTTTGGAGAGGTCCCTGACAGCAGATTTCTCCAGTGCAATTCATCTTTTGGCTTCCCGACTACTCATGCCAAGAGTGTTGATTGTGGAGCTAAGCAAGCTGGAAACTGTTAACAACCTCCATCTCTTCTCCATCTGTTGTGGTGCTACCACTTGGCCCAGTGATGAGAATCTTTGTCTTTTTTATGTTGAGCTTCAAACCATATTGAAGATGGCAGTCTTTGACCTTCTGCAAGAAATGCTTCAGGTCCTCCTCAGTTTTGGCAAGTAAAGTGTCATCTGCATGACACAGGTTGTTAATGAGTCTTACTCCAATCCTGATGCCACATTCTCCTTCATAAAGTCCAGCCTCCTGAGTGATATGTTCTGCATATAGTTTTAAAAGGTATGGAGACAGGACACATCCCTGACTCACTCCTTTCCTGATTTTGAACCATGCAGTGTTTCCTTGTTCTGTTCTAAAGACAGCTTCCTGGTCCGAGTATAGGTTCCACATAAGCACTATCAAGTGTTCTGGGATTCCTATTCTTCTTAAGGTTAGCCACAATTTGTTGTGATTCATACAGTCAAATGTCTTTGTATAGTCAATGAAGCACAGATAGACATTCCTCTGGTATTCTTTGCTTTCTGCCAAGATGCATCTGACATTGACAATAGTATCTCTAGTGCCAGGACCTCTTCTAAACCGAGCTTGTATTTCTTATAGTTCTCTGTTAATGTACTGTTCCAGTTGTTTCAGTATAATCTTCAAGATTTTGCTTACATGTAATATTAGTGATATTGTTCGATAATTTCCACACACTGTTGATTCACCTTTCTTTGGAATGGGAATAAATATGGATCACTTCCAGTCAGTTGGCCAGGTAGTTGTCCTCCAGTTTTATTGACAAAACCTGGTGAGCACATTAAGTCAGCACCTGTTTGTTGAAATATGTCAATTGGTATGCCATCAATTCCTGGGACCTTCTTTTTTTACCAATTTCTTCAGAGCAGCTTGAACTTCCTCCTTCATCACCACTGCCTCTTGGTCATATGTTGTTTCATGAAATACTTCTGTGTCAGCCAATTCTTTTTTTATGAAGTGACTTCTTTTACTGCTTCTTGGATCATTAAGTGTTCTGGCCATAGCATCCCTAAGTATTGCAGCTCAAGGCTTGAATTTGTTCTTCAGTTCTTGAAAAACAAACTCTCTGTGTTAGCCATAGTTTGTTATGATCCACACAGTCAAATCCCTTTGCCAATCAACAAAGCATAGACATTTTTCTGTTGTTCTCTGTTTTCACCGTTTTCATCTATTTGTGTTAGGAGTGGGGGGCTTTGGGAATCTGAGATTGGTCACTGTTAGAAGGGTCCAACTTATATGCTTATTATAATGAACTTTAGAATAATCCCTTGGGGAAAAAACCCAACCCTGTACCTTCTGGCGAGGGTCACTGAGTGGCACAAAAGCTTGTGTGGGAGTGATGGGGGCACCATCCCCCACTCCCGATCTTTTCCACGATCTGTTGGAGTGCCCTCCCCCCCTCCCATTTTCCTTAAAGCAAGCGGATATGGATCTTTCAGTAGGTGGACCAGGTAACCCTTTCTCTTCCAAACTCCTTGACATAAAGAAAGGACTGATCATGAGTTAGCAGAAACACCCAGGGTATTCTGTCAGTTCCAGGAGGCTTATGCCCTCCCTTCGCCCAGTTCCTCCAGTGCAACCAGGCCCTTCCTCCTTCATGACTACAGACCTGTGATCCAAGAGGCTCCTGAAATGGTTGAGTGTTGTCCAGTTGTTTTTGACACAGTGACTCTGTGTGTTCTGTACCCTTTTGATACATCCCACATCGTTCCATATTTTGCCCACAGAATCCTTGAGCATTGAATTTTTAGTTCTTTCAACTTAAATGACACTGTTCATGCTCATCTAACTACAGTTCTTTGCACATTTCCTTACAATGCTTTGCACATTTTTATAAAACAAACTATCCATGTTCCTCTACTGTTTATAGGGGTTTCAGACTGGTGTGGATGGAGACAAGAACAAACAAATATGTCTTGGAGAGGGTGCAGCCAGAATGCCCTTTGGAGGCAAAGATGATAAAGCTTCACCTCACATCCTTTGGCCATGTTGCTAGGAGGGGCTATTCCTTGGAAAAGAACATGATGCTGGGAAGGATGGAAGGTCAGCAAAGGAGAGAAAGACGCTCAACCAAGTGTATTGATATGTTGACTCCCACAATGGACTCTTGTGTGTCAGAAAGGGTGAGGATGGCGCAGGATAGAACAGGGTTCAGAATTTACGTTCATAGGGTCGCTATGAGTCTTGTGTAAAGGCACTTAACAACAACATCAACAACAATGGAAAATGAACAAACAAAACCTCTCTGGTTATTTCTGGGAGTCTTTGGAGGGGGGTACGTCTGTGCACCGGCAGATGGCCACAGGTCTGTGCACTGGTTCTGTGTCTTTCTAGAAACATCTTATCCCTGCTTGTGCTCAGAGGTGCTGGAGCTGTGTAGCCTCAAATCCCCCCTGCGCCTCTTTACTGCTGTGTGGACTTGGGTGGGTTTTACAACCTC